CCTCTCTCTCCCCTTTCTCTTCCTTCCTTCTTTCCCTCTCCCTTCTTTCTCATCCTTCCCTCTCCCATTCCCCTCTTATTTACTCTTACTCCCCCACTCCTTCCCTCATCCCCCCCTCCCCTCCCCCCCTCTCTTTACCTTACCTTGGCCGTAGCGTAGGCAGTGAAGGCGAGGTTGCAGGCGTCGTTGAGTGCGGGGAGGGCGAGCATGCGGTTCAAGAATGCGGGGTTGTCGCCGTCGCCGAAGGTCACGTGATCAGCGGTCATGTCACGACCCATGTCCTGGCAGTCGGGAGCCATCTCGCGGCCGCTTTTCTCTTTTGCTCTCTCTCTCCTCTCTCCTCTCGTTCGCTTTCTTTTCGTCTTCTTCCCCGTTTTTTCTAATTCGGTTTCTTCCCGTTGTTTTCAAAATCGGTTTCTTCCGCGAGATGGAGTGCTGGTTTCTGCCAAGGGTTTGGAATTTTATCAATATTTGGTTTCACTTTGTCGTAGTTCAAGATGAAAAGATGCAAAGAGGGATGGGTGTGAATAACACGAAAAAATATTCGGTAAAAGAGAAAAGCATTCCGATGTAAACATTTAATGTTTGAATCAACTGATAACATTACCTAACATCAGAAATGCTGAGTACGTAACCTTTATGAAATACCACACCCACCTACATGAAATCACCACAAAGTGCAAGGAAAATAATGGGCAAAACTTACAAGAACTAAAATCCCAGCAGGAGCTCACTCGCACAACCTTTGTCCGCGCTGCCCGAAGCCGCACTGACTCGACCAAGAGCTCGAAGCGGAAGCCGGCGACAGAACCAAACAAGTGACACCCGAACGCACTTTTTTTTCGTTTTTCTTCCTTTTTCTCTGACGTTGGCCCTTTTTCCTCTTTCTCTCTTAAAGGTATGACGCAAGGTCACTCGTTTTGCAAAGTAAGTTTTTGCGACGTGTGGTTTCCGACAGTTGCAAATACTTTCTTGGTTTTGTTTTTGAGAAGTAAACAACTTGAGTCGAATTTGGGTTCGAAACATTTTAAAGCGCGACTGAATCAAATGACGTCATAGGTATTTGCACGCTTCTTTATTTGAGGTCTTTTTTTTAAAGATAAACCGGTGAGCGCCAATTAATCATGCTACTAGGCTGCTTATTATAGTAGTTGTGAGCTGAACGTGTCGAGGATGTTGTTAACTTGTAAATCTGTCCTTTACATCCTCTCCTCCTCTCTCGTCAGCTTGCTTTCTCGTCGGTCGCTCTCGTCTCTCTCTTTCTTCTCTCTGTTTCTCTTCTTCTCTCTGTCGGTGCGGTTCTGGTCATCATCCTCTCGTCTTCTCTCTCTGCACTCACTCTCTACTCTCAACTCTCATCGGTCTCACTCTCACTCTCTATCGGTGTCTCTTCTACGTCTTCGCTAATGCTTTTATTATATTTTACCGTACATAGCTGTTGTGCATTATTCATCTAGGTATGGGTCATCTGTTTGAGTCATTTTATTCTGAGTTGTGAGCAAATTAATACTATGATTTGGTCTAACCTAATTTTAATATTATATATTGATGTATTATGTGTACGCATCACCACAGCATCATTTTCATCGCTCACATCACCACATTGTCTTTTATTTGTGGTTTTGTGGGTTTTCACAGATATATAGATGTATTGATTATTTATGGTTTTTATTATATATAATTGTATATTATAATAGTATATATTTTTATGATTTGAGTACGTATAGGGTTAGTTCATTATAGATGATAGATAGACATATATTGTAGTATTTTCAGTGTATTAGTTGTATAATATATTATAGGGTGGCTATTCGTAATAGCATTATCTCGATATATAGGATACAGGTCTGCAGAAGCAGCACACCATAGCATCACAACATGTGCATTATTATTGTATATGTACTGTGTGTAAATTATATATATGTCATATATATAGTATGATGGAGGGTAGATCACACAATTATAGCGTAAAATTTGAGTTAGTGGATATTATAGGATTATATATGATTATGAGATGAGTGGTATAGTATGGTAATGGCGCTGCGCGTGCGGGGAGTGCGGTCTCTGCGTTCTCGTGCCTCTCTCTCGTCTCTCTTCTATATTTATGAGGTTATTAGTTATTTTATTGAGTATATAAGTAGTAATTTTTATATGATATCTATATATATGGTGATCATTATGAGATAATATGTGATATTATAGTATATATAGTGGTAGATTTTAGCCGCATATATAGTGTTATATATAATAGTGATTGTCTAGCTTAGTATATGAGTATTAGTTACCCTATAGGGGTTGGTTGTATATATATTACTATATAGCTGGGTGTGTGTGTGTGTATGCTGTGTGTGTGTGTATATATATATATATCATAGACTAGAGTATCGTAAGGTATATCTATATATATATATATTATAGGTTATGTATAAATTGGCATTGTTCCCCTCCAGTTCTAAAGCGGGCAATCCTTGCGACGCGTGCCAATCGGACAACGTGGTCAGAAGTGTAATATTGGGTGGCTCAACTACTTTATTCCCGCCTTCTCCTCTCGTCTCTCCTATTTCTTTCCGTGCTGAATTCCGTCCTCTTTTTCAGGATAATTCGGTGAAAGTACAGCGTACAATCTAATAGACCACGGGTTACGATACATTTAAGGTCTACATAAAGTAGCAACACAGAACCTCGTTCCATGTGCCGGCGTCTTCAACCACGCACACGGCACATCCAAGCACACCTGTGGGTCCCGTCCGGGAGATGCGAGTCCGCCCGCGTCCGCCAGCCAAGATGCTTTTCACGAATTCTAGAAGGACACGGCGGGGCTCTCTTCTTCTCCGGTGCATTCTCCTAGGGCTTTCCATTGCACAACCACCGACGAGGGCTTTCGGCGGCCTGTGGGAGCGGGAATTAGCGCGTCGCCTCTCCAGCCCCGCCGCTCCTGCCCTCTGCTCCGCTGCGGTCCAGCAATGTAATGCCAATATATCGTAAACTGTTACGTGTCATGTATTCTTTCGCTCTAGTAGCATTGTTATACCATACTTGTACATATACACATACGTGTATGATGCTGAGTAATATTAGTATTATGTATTATATATATCATATGATATAGGTATATATATAAGTATGTTATTACATATTATATATATAATTAATATATATATATATATTGATATATATATTGGATATGCGGATCTTATGCATTGAATATGTATGTACACTGTATGGGTGTGTTGTGTGTGTGTATATTATATAATATATAGTATATATATATATAATAATATACCTATATTCTCATATATATATAATGTAGTGTGTGGTGTAATTGGTGTTCGCTATTATATTTGTAAATACATTAAATATAGTATTGATATAATTAATAATATTACTCGCATATCATAATTGATATTCATACTATACATGACATTATCGATATCACACACACACACACACACACGCGAGCACACACACAGCGCACACGAGTGATTATCTTGCCTGTCACAGCAGCGATTTTCAGTTACACACTACAGTGCAGAGTCCCGCGTGCACATCACGTACAACACATCAGGGTGCACACCACACACATCCCACGCACCACACATACACATTATATTATTATAACTAATAGGTATATAGGTATATATATAATATGTATATATAGTATCGTATAGTATATAAAGGTATATATATATATATATTATATATATTATGTGTGTGTGTGTGTGTGTGTGTGTGTTGTGTGTGTGTGTGTGCGTGTGTGTTGTGTGTGGTGTGTGGGTGTGTGTGTGTGTGGTGGTGTTGTGGTGGTGTGTGTGTGTGGGTTGTATTGCAATATATAGGGTATATATTATATAAGTTAGTAATGTGTATGATAAATATAATGCATATCATATTCATACATATATATTAGTATATATTATATATATATAGATATACTAGTATACACTTTATATAGTATATTAATGCATGTAAAATATTATATGGCACACATATACACACACACATACATTTTATATAATATATACTAGTAATATCTCTATAGTATAGCGTAATACTGATCATATTGTATATATAGTGTATGATATAGAGATGTATGTATGCATGTATGGGTAGTAAGGATGTACACACACAACACACACACAATCACACACACGGACGACACACACGATCACGACACATCAACACAGCACATGACACGGACGACCACAGCCGACCACACAATGTTCTGGTTGTCACTTAGTCACACAGGACTCCGTTCACACAAACACACACATACTATACAACAACAACACACAGCGACCACGAGCTTACAACACACAACACACAAGCACACACATTCCGCGCAATATATATAAATATATATATATATATATTATTATAATATATATTATATAATGTAGTTATGTATTGTATGGTTGTATACATGCCTAATATAGTTACATAATAGAATATGGCCAATATTGCAGAGTATATATGTATATTAGTAATATATATAGTATTTATATGATAAGATATATATATATCATATATATATATATATATATTTGGTTGGATAAGAATCATAGAGCATGTGTGTGGTGTTGTGTGTGTGTGTGTGTGTGTGTGTGGGTGTTGCGGTGTTGTATACATATTATCGTATAATATAGCTATATATATATAGGTATAGTATATATATATATATATTATTATATGATATTATCATATATATATAATATATACACAACCACACAACATCCACACACCACACACATTCACACTGACACACAACACACACAAATCCACACACCATCACACACAGCTTCACAACACACACACACGACACACACAGCACACACACACACAACACATTATATTGTATACCAATTATAGTATATATATATATATATGATTATATGTATATAGTATATATATCACATCATCATACACATATATAAACTCATCACAACGACAACACACACACATACTACACACACACACATTTCACTACACACACACACACAACACAGTTGTCACACACACACACACATCATCACACACCCACACACAACCCACATATATATTATATATATATATATGATATATGTATATAGTATTGTATTGTATGTATGTTTATACATTGCTAATATATTACATACAGATATGCATATGCAAGGTATAGATTATAATATATATATAATATATATATATATAATATATATTATATATTATATATATATATGATTGGTATAAATAGTATCAATGTGCGTGTGTGTGTATTATATTATATTGACATGTATATAATATATAATATATATATATATATATATTATATAGTACACACACACACACACACTAGCAGCAGCTTACTTAGCATCCACACACACAGGTCAGGTGGTGGGCACTACATGGTCACATGCACCGATGCACGACACAACACACACACATGTGATGTTTTAATACCGAATATATAGTAGTATTATATTATATTATATATTAGTATATTATTTTTGTATATATTGTATTATTAGTTTTTAATAAGCTAGCATTGTGTGTGTGTGTGTGGTGTGTGTGGTGTGTGTGTGTGTGTGTGTGTGTGTGTGTTGTGTGTGGTGTGTGTGTGTGTGTGTGTGTGTATATAATGATAGTAAGAGTATGTATATTATGTATAGTGATATATATGATGATTTATGTATGGTATATATATTAGTATATACTAGGTAATAGATGTATATAGTATGTAGTGATATATGAGACATTATCATTATTAGTATATCATATCAATGATTATATTGTGGTTATACATAGTTATATGGATATTATTAGGTCATTAATATAGTATATA